CAGCTCACAGCAAACTCAAACTCTTGGGCTTAAGTGATTCTTTTGCCTCAGCCTCCCAAATAGCTGGGACTACAGGCTCCTGCTAGAACACCCGGCTATTTTTTTGTTAGAGTTGTCATTGCTGTCTGGCTGGCCTGGGCTAGATTCAAACCTCAGCCTCAGTATGTGGCTGGCACTGTAACTAGTGATACGGTAGCTGAGTCACGTCTGATTGTTTTTCTTTTTTCTTTTTCTTTCGAGACAGAGTCTCACTTGGTTACCCTCGGTAGAGTGCTGTGACATCTTAGCTCACAGCAACCTCAAACTCTTGGGTTCAAGTGATCCTCTTGCCTAAGCCTCCCGAGTAGCTGAGACTACAGGCACCCACCATAATGCCCAGCTGGTCTGATTGTTTTTCATAAGGCACAGCACACATGAGTGCTGAGCAGTGTCATTGTAGCAATTGTGAATCTTGTGTGTAGCTTTGTCTGGAGCAACAGCTGTCTCTGTCTGTGGCCTGGTACTTGGGGTCAGCAGGTGTGAAAAGTGGAACAAACGGCACAGTGAGCATTGGGGCATCGGGTAGGGTGAGGGGGATTCTCAGGGCAGCAGCTCAGGATGCGACCCAGGGGCTGGCTTGGAGTGGTGCTGTCCCATCTGTGTCTCCAGCTGTAGGGCCGTCCTTGGTGACTTTCCAAGTTCTCATTTCCATCTGTCTGGATGTGGCTGTGTCAGGCTGCAGCTTGAGCAGCCCCGATCTGAAATGCCTCAGAATTCAAAACTTTGTGAGCATCACTGTAGCTCTCAAAGGCCCATGAGAGCATTTTGGATTTTCTGATTAGGGTTGTTCAACTGTTAAGTATAATGCAAATATTCCAAAATCAAATGAAAGAAGGAAATCCAAAATACTTCTGGCCCCAAGCATTTTATATAAAGGATATTCTACCTGTGCTGAGGCTGTGAGAGATTCCATTTTCTTGGGCTTAGGTGATGCATCATATATTACTTTAATTATTAAAAATGAATCCTGTTGTTAGAGTCAGCAAAACACTGTCCAGGCAAATAGTTACTGAAGACACAGCCAGAGAAAGAAGGCTTTATTTTTCCCACTATCCTGTGTTTCCCTCCTGAACCCACACTGTGGGTTTCTCCTCTGTATGGAGATTACCTTTCAGTGCAGCTTGCTGGCCCTGTGCTGGGAGCACCGTGCCAACCAGGGCGAACTGGGGCCAGCACCAGTGTCCCAGGCTCTGAGAGTGGCCCTGGGGATAGTGAGCAGGCACCTTCCTTCCCTACATGCCCTCAGGCTCCTGCAGCCACAGATCTGCTTTCTGTTTGTGCTTTTGCCTGTTTGGACATCACATGTAAATGTAATCACACATTTTCTCTTTGTGTCTGCTTCTCTTACTGAACATAATATGTGAGGTCCCTCCATGTCACTTTGTGTGTCAGCACCTCAACCTTTGCATGACTGAGACTCACACATAGCTTATTCTGTGTGTCATCCATCTGTGGGTAGATATTGAAGGTGTATCTACTCTTGCTTACTATGAATAGTGCTGCTGTGAATATCAGTTCACAGGTTTTTGCATGAACCTGTGTTTTTGGTTTTTTTGTGAGCATAGTGGTAGGATTGGAACTGCTAGTCACATAGTAACTGTTTTACTTTTTTTTTTTTTTGACACAGAGTATCACTCTGTCAGTCTGGATAGAGTGCTGTTACATCATAGCTCACAGCAACCTCAAGTTCCTGGACTCAAGCGATCTTCCTGCCTCTGCCTCCCAAGTAGCTGGGACTTTAGGCACCTGCTCCCATGCCAGGCTGTTTTTTCTATTTTTAGTAGAAATGGGTTCTTGCTGTTGTTCAGGCTGATCTGGAACTACTGAGCTCAAGGGATCCTCCTGCCTTGGCCTCCCAGAGTGCTGGGATTACAGGTGTAAGCCACCAAGCCTGGCTTATATTTAACTGTTTGAGAACCCCCAGATTGTTCTGCAAACTGGCTACACCCCTTCTGTTCCTACCACCAGATCACTGGAGACACTTGTTACTGTCTGACTTCCTGCCTGAGCAGGTCTGGGCGTGGTTTCATCGTGGCTGTGATGTGCCTTTTGTGGGTATTTAATCGTGCTAAGTGTCTTTTCATGTGCTTCTTGCCCGTCTGTAGGTCTTCTGTGGACAAATATCTATTCATATCCTTTGTTCATTTAAAAATGGTATTGTGGGTCAAGTGTGGTGGCTCCTACCTCTAGTCCTAGCTACTCAGGAGGCTTAGGCAGGAGGATTGCTTGCACCCCAGAGTTTGAGGTTGCTGTGAGCCATGAAGCCACAGTAATCCACGCACGTGACAGAGTAAGACTCTGTGTCAAAAAATTAAAAATGGTATTATACACGTGCACCACAAAACAACATTTTGGTCAACATAGGGCCACACATGTGACATGGTTTTATGAGATTGTAAATAGTGTGTTTGTACTGTGCCATCTCTGTGTTTAGGTGAGTTTGGACCCCAGACAGTCCTGGTCATGCTGTGCTAGGCTGTACAGACTCTGCCCTCCAGTCTGTGCAATCCCGTTAAGAGATTCATGGCTGGCTCGGTGCCTATAGCTCAACCGGCTAAGGCGCCAGCCACGTACACCTAAGGTGG